TTCTTGGAGAGGAGGCTGGTTGTGATCAAAAGCCATTCAGCATCTTCATCGCTGAAACACGCCAGCAGAAAAGCAGAGCTCAAACAGCCCGGGCAGCAGAGCTGGCAGAGCCATGGGCGGTCACAGTGTTTGGATGCAAGGAGAAGCAGCTGCAGCAGGACAGGGGGAAGAGCTGGGACCACTTGAGAGACCGTCCTGTGCCAGACCGTCCTGTGCCAGACCGTCCTGTCCCAGACCGTCCTGTGCCAGACCACGCTGCGATCCCCAGAGTGCAGCAGAAATAACCACATTGGTCTGCTCTGCCCAGCCCCTTGGCTGAGTGGCTCTCACAGTGGAGCAATGCAGCATGTGAACTGCGTTGTGAACTGGTGTGATTCACTGGGAATCTCTCCCGTCAGGGGACCTCCTTGGCACAGGCTGTGGTGGGACAGGCAGAGCCGGTGTGGGGCCGGGGAGCAGCTCTGTGTTCCAGCCAGGTGCTCACTGGTGAAGCACCAAATAGTGTGGGGCCAGGACCTCGCCTGACACCCTGCAAACAGCTTAGGGCATGGGCCAGCAGAGGAGCATCATCCTCTTCCATGTTCACTGAGAGGAGAAAAGGACCTGTGGGGAGCCCAGGGTGGCGCTGATGCAAGGGAGGCTGCCTGCAGTGTCCTACAGGCCCAACAGGGCCTTTGGCAGAGCCTTCACTATTGGCAGGACCCAGATGAACCCCAAAGACAACATTGCTCCCCTCATCCTCCCTCCGTCAGCCCTTTGTCCCATCACCCTGCTGCCCCTGTGCTGCCTGTGTCCTCCAACCCACAAGCAGCAGAGCGGGCAGCGGGGTTGGGGTGAGCATCATCCCAACGGGAGTTTCCATTGCACACATACACACCGTGAGGTTTCCTTTCATGGTAACAGAGCTGGGATCACATTTTTCCAGATAACGTGGGGGCTGTCAGGACATGTCCCAGGAGACAATAAAGGATCAGCAGCTAAGACAAACAAAGAGCGTGCTTCACTCCACACCTTGGTGTATTTGTTACCCATCTCGGTGCTTTCTGACTTTCAGAGCCAAGCTGTCAGTGAGGCCTTTCCCTGCCATCCCTCACACACAGGAGCTGTCTCTCCCAAGGCTGCATCCTTCAGCCGTTTCCACTGTGCATCGCAGTGAAAGGCGCTCAGGAGAAGCTGGCCCACAGGGGAAACGCCATGACTGCTAATTAGCTGTTATTCATTACATTAAAAGCACAATTAAGTGCTCTTGTTTGAGGTAAATGCAAGGCCCTGACCCTTTCACAACAGCCCTCACCAGCTGGGAGAAGTTGGTGGAGAGTGACTGGGGCCTGGGATTTTGTGGCACTATTTCTTACTGCCCCAAAGTCCCTACGCCACACTGAGTAGTTCTCATACAGCACTTCTGGATGACTGCCTGTCCACCACCCTGCGGCCGCCTCAGACAGCATGGATGCCCTTCTGGTGGCAGCCAAGGTTACCATTCCAACTTTCCTCTTGGCTCCATAGCCAAGATCTCCAAACCCTTTTCCCTCCAAGATGCATCCTCCTTGAGCCAGGAAGAGGTTTCTGTGTCTGGTTGCAAGATAGCCTCTGCAACACTACAGTTGCACCAGGATTTTTCAGAAAGTCTCATCCTGGGACAGCATTTTCAACAGCTCAGTCTGCACAACAGTACCTCTTCTCATTCTCCTCCTTGCGCTCCTTCCTCGCCTCCCGCTCCTGTGTCTTCGCCTCCACTGGGAGCGTCCCCTGCTGCGACTCCTGCGATATCGCCTGTGTCTCGCCATTTCTGCTTACACGGTCTCTGTAACTGGATGGCAGCCGCCTGGCAGAGCTGCCTGCTTCTCTGATGGGTGCTCTCGCTCTCTATCAGATGGCAAGTGGACGTGCAGCTGGCGTGGCTTTGGAGGCCACCATGTGTCATGGTGGTGATGCAAGGGAGTCCCTTTTCCCAAAGAGAACCTGCTTCCGCCTTGCTCTTTGACTGTGAACAAAGAGCTTTTCCTTCCACCTCAGAACCCATGAACTTAGACTCAAGGCTTAAGAATTTACCTCTAGGCTTCCACTTTGCGGTTTTCACTGTGCTGGGGAGAGGGCAAGACGGTGAGACGGAGATGCTGTGGGCACTGCCTGTCCACTCCCAATGTGTGATTGATTCCTCTCCCTCCCTACACAAACCGGAGCAATTCGGTTCGTTCCTTCCCCTGCAGCGCAGCTGAGGGAGCGATAGCATCTGCGGTGTGCTTCGTGCTGGGACAGACGCCGATACCATCTCCTGCGTGTTACCGTGTGGGGTTTTTTTATCTCAAGGGAATTTATTGTGGGTGCGTGTTTCAGGAGAGCCTGGGAGACCGAATTCTTATGGCAACATAAAATAGCTGAAGTGGTGCGTGCTCCCCTGAATGATCACGCCCTGTCGACAGTGCAAGGGGAACTTTGTGCTAAGGGTTTCTCGCATAAAATGGGGCTGGTTTGGGGTTATTTTGTAGGAGCGAAGCCAGAGGCGAGGGCAGCAGCTGAGAGCAGGAGCACTGGTCAGAAAAGACGAGGACAAGCTGATAATGCAGCACAACCTCCAGATCCCTCCTTGGGCTCCTGTGCCAGCTGCAAGAAAAGAGCTTAAATATGGTCTGAGGCTGTGATAATACAGAAGGAAGAGCCCTGAATCCAGGTTTTTGTGCCTGTGGGGCTGTGGCAGGGCTTTGCTCTGTTCTGGGGCAGTTGTCACCTTCAGGCTGCCTTGTAACTTGGCCTGAAACGTGGGGGTGACCTGAGCAGGGGACAGCACTCACAGCACGGCTTTTGGGACGTGTGAAGGGCTTGTGGCCAACACGGGAACTGCCTGGAGCAGGAGGGCGTTTGCTGGAGCAGATGTGAGCAGCACATCTGGGAGAAGGCAGCTCCTGGGGAGGGTGAGGGGTGGCGCCACACGTCGCTGTTTGGTAACCCAGGCCCCCCGCTGAGGAGCACAGATCCCTGCCAGGCCACCCGCGAGTGTGCCGGGAGCTGAGCACCCTCACCCGCACCCTCTGTCATCGCCAGGCCCCCTCCTTTCCCCCAGCTCTCTGAGGGATGGAGCACCTGCGCATCCCAAATCCACATTCCCAGAGTTTGCAGCTTGGGGAGTCACAAACTCGAATCTGGAAGCTCTCAGTTCTGAGGCAGTGCTGCCCTGAGAGGAGCCCTCAACTGAGAGGACCTGGAGTTTGTTCCTGCTCAAGCTGCTTCCTCGGTGGCCACCCAGAAAAAACACAGCACGCCTCCTGGAGCAGCACAGAAAGAGACCGTGACTCTCTATTGAGCCCTTGGGATCTAACAGCGATACAGATAAAGCGTTGTTGTTATTGTGTCCTTCAGAGGACAGATGAAAGAAAGGAGGCACCACGAATTACGGAGGGTGAGGCTCTGGGAACACCTTAGCAACTCCAAAATCAGTTCAGTGCATTAGAATGTGAAAACAGCCAGAGGGGCCATGGGAAGGAAGGAGATCACCACAGGAGAGAACTCACAAAAGGGCTCCTAATCCCTGTAATGTTCTTTCACTACCTCACAGGCACCTCTGCTAACAAAAAAATAACTACTCTTATCCACGACTGACATCCTGGAGCCAGGCAGGCCAGGAGCTTGGGTGTGCGATTTTCCACTGCGCGCTGCAAGAGCTGGCGCCACATCACCGAAGGGATTTTTCCCTGACAAAGAATCAAACAGAGCAGCGTCTCTCTCCCTGGTTCTCTGCTGCTATTTTTCACGCTAATACCTGTCCAGCTGCATGACTGCAGTCGCTGCTCAATCCCTTAATGGCACGGTGCAGGTGTGGCCACGGGGCAGCTGCGTTGCCTCATCCGCACATCTCCTCTGCGTGGTCCCCTTTGCACCCCGGTTCTGCTCTCGCCCCTCGCTGCTGTGAGCTCTGTGCTCTGCCCACCTGTAACTGTGGGTAACATAGCTTCTCCTGGGCTACGTTGGCCTTGTGTCTTGCAAATATGTAGGAAAAAGCACATCTCCCTGCGGGCACAGGGACTGATAAGAGCTGATGGTACTCTTCCCATCGGAGATTGCACCCAATGTGTGCTGGTAGTGGGTGTCTGATGCAGCTTCAAACTCATTTTGCCCTGATTTAGGCTATTTAAGCATTAAAACCTGCTTCAGCAATGAGAGAGAAGAAGTTGTGGCACAGAAGTTTTGGGCTTCTACAAATGTTTCAGAAGGCATTGGCTGCTACTGAGGCTTTGTGAGGCGATGCAGAGAGCAGGTGCCACTGGGAACCATCGAGTGTCTGCCTGTTAAACTCCTGAACACCACTGCTGGGGGACTTTCCAGTCTCCAGACCAGTATGTAAGGGAACTTACTGGAGTTTCTTCTCTTTTGAGCTAAGAGATCTCTGCCAAATGCAGTATCAGTACACAAACACCGCCAGGTCTGTGCTTGTCCCGGGACAGAGGTCCCGACAGGAAAATTTCCATCTGGCTTTGGGTCGGCCCATATAAAGATAGTGGATGCGCAGAGCGCTTAAGTCAGCAGCTTTTGTTGGCTGTAGACTCTGTAAAAGAGCAAATAAATAGATTTGTAGATTTTTAATAATAAAAGACACTTGCGGGTGGCTTGGCACACCACAGAGGAGTCTCTTGCGTTGCTTCCCGCAGGAGCAGCGGGGTGGAGCTGGGGCAAGCACCTCTGCTGCATCTCAGGTGCAAGAGTGAACGCTAAAACGTAGCCGAGAGCAAGGAGCCGTGGTCTGAATCACGCCGGGTGCCGGGAACCGCAGCGGAAGGAGGAGATCCCGAGTGCCACGGTGCTGCCGGTGGGATGTGACAAAAGACGTGAAACCAGGGCGAGAAAAATGATGATTCTGGTATTTGGCTCTGGCTGTCAGGGGTGACGACAAGCGTGGGCAACGCCTCCTGCCCGGGCTATAAAGGGCTCCAGGGCAGGGGAGAAGCCAGCACTCGCTGTCTGCACTGCCGAGCCGTGCCTGTCTCCAGCCTGCACCAACCCTCGCCATGAGCACCACTGTCAGGCAGTTCTCCTCCTCCACCTCCCTCAAGGGCTGTGGGGGCCTGGGAGGGGGCTCCAGCCGCCTTTCCTCTGTGCGCATTGGGGGAGGAGGCTACAGGGCCCCCAGCGTCCACGGGGGCTCCGGCAGCTTCTCCGTCTCTTCCCGCGTTGTCTCGGGGCTGGGAAGCGGCTACGGGGGCAGCTACTGCAGCAGTGTAGGAGGGGGCCTGGGCGCCGGCTTTGGGGGCAGCTATGGGGCTGGCTATGGGTCTGGCTATGGAGGAGGCTTTGGAGGTGGTTTTGGGGGTGGCGATGGCATCCTCCCAGCTGGCGAGAAGGAGACGATGCAGAACCTCAACGACCGCCTGGCTGCCTACCTGGACAAAGTGCGGGCCCTGGAGGAGGCCAACACGGACCTGGAGGTGAAGATCCGGGAGTGGTACAAGAAGCAGGATCCGGGTCCAGAGCGCGACTACAGCCCCTACTACAGGACCATCGAGGAGCTCAGGAACAAGGTAGGATGCTGGGATAACAGACTGGGATGTGTCGTTGTCAGAGAGGAAGCAGAAGCACTGATTGCCACCTCTGCAATTAGTCAGCACTAAGTAAGTCGTAAAAAGTGTCTCAGGTGCATGGGAGAAGTGCCAGACTCGAAATTCTGAGATTTCTCAATGTCAGCTCTTGATTATGTCCCTCTCGATGGAGCACACGGCAGTCTTCACTGGAAGAAGCAGATGTAAAAGACATAGAGCAAAAGTGAAGAATGAGGGACAAGTGTGCATTGATAGTGCATATTGTCTGGGGGGTTAAAATGAATGTGCAGGGACAGTTGCAGGTGTGAGCAAGCGGTGGAACATTGATGTCGCATTTGTAAATATCCAGACAAAGGATCTGCAGACTCGTTTCAGCTCCTCCTATTGCTGGGATTTAGATGCTGAAGAGAAAGGATGGAACTGACCAATAGGAGATTTTTGCCTCCTTGTGGCAGTCACCACCTTGCAGATGATGGATGCTGAAGGGAACCCATTTTCCCTTCTTCTCCTGATGCCCTCACAAACTCTGACCTGAATCTTCTCCCAGTGTGGATGATTTGCTCCTGGTTTTGTAATGTAAAAACAAGGCACCTGCTTACTGCATTTTGCTCAGTTTCTGTGGTCAAGAAATGAAATCCATTCCCAAACACACAGAAGGTTTGCCAAGCTCAAGCACCCACAACTCCGTCTGCCAGGGGAGCCCCACGGTGCTGCGGATGGGGAGCGGTGATTCCCTCCTGACCCTTGCACAATCAGCATCTGCCCTGGAGCATGGGAACAGATGCTGTCTTCAGATCTCACACCCCTTACGTGGCTTCCAGCTGCCTTTTGACACCCTTACAGCAGGGTTTTTGGAAAGAGAGGTCCCTGAGTATCCAGCTCCTTCTGCAGTCAGTCCCAGCTGGATCTCCCGTGCCCTGGTTCAATACCCACGTCTGCTAAGGAAACCCAAATCTTCCCCAGACTGCTCCTGTCCCTACAGCCCCACTTGTGCCCCATCCCCTACTCACTCAGGAGCTCCTGATGCTCATTTTGTGTTTTTTCCTTACTCTCCACCCCCCAGGTCCTGGTGGCCACCGTGGACAATGCCAACCTCCTCCTGCAGATCGACAACGCCCGGCTGACAGCGGATGACTTCAGGACCAAGTAAGCCACATTTCCTGGAAAACGGGAACAAAGTCTGTGGAGACATTTGATGAAAGGAGGGGAAAATCCCATCCAAACCCCAAAAGGACAATGTAGAAACAAAGCCTTCAAAATGAAGGTGTAATTTCCAAAGCAGGTTACCTAAATCCATTGGCATTTAGGGATTGCTTTACTTTCATCCAAAACTTTGCTATTTTATTCCCATTGCTTGTTCCTCTGTGGTATGACCTCTCCTCTGCAGAGAACTTGCACTGTGCCCCTGCTGTGCATGTAACTGTGTGACAGAGCTTAACTGAGCTCAGATCCAGTGATATCGGTGATACCATGAGCAAGGTGGTGTTATGGACTCAGCTGGATGCTGTTTTATCAGTCATTCCCCTGCATACACCATCAGGCTGTCCATGCACCACTGGGGCCATGGAGCACTGACACGATGACAGCAGCAGCACTGAGGTGCTCTGTCCCAGCTGGACAAGGTCCTGTGTGACTCTTGTGGCTGTGCCTTGTCCCCAGGTTCGAGACGGAGCAGACTCTGCGCCTCAACGTGGAGTCCGACATCAACGGCCTGCGTCGGGTCCTGGACGAGCTGACCCTGGCCAGGGCTGACCTGGAGATGCAGATCGAGAACCTGAAGGAGGAGCTGGCCTATCTCAAGAAGAACCACGAGGAGGTGAGCACAGGCTCAGAAAAGTCCAGCCTGGGCCCAGAAATACGAGGTCTGGTCCAGCTGTTAAGATGATGCTGAGTGTTGAATGGCTGGGAGGGAAGATGGGAAGTGCTGGTAAGGAAGTGGAGACGATGCATTCTGGCTCACAGAGCATCCTCCCCGGAGCCTGTATAAAACTATTCACCAGTGGTTATTTCAGTGGTGCCCAGTAATGCTATGTAATGTTAGAGGCTCATTAACAAACCCAGTAGCTTCAGGCCTGCAAGGTTTGCCAACTACAGGCTCTGATTTATTCTCTGAAAAAAGACAGATTTAACTCAAATGGAGATGTCTTGAGAATTTGGCTTATTTTATTTGTGACGGTGGAGTGAAGGCTCCAGGTTGCTCCCTGTTGATCTGCTCCAGAAATCCCTGCCAAAGGACGCTACCTTTCCTGAAGAGCTTGGTCTTTAGTGGAACACCTTTATGTGCTGGTGGTTGGATTGCATGAAGATGTGTTTCTCTTTTCTGGCAGGAAATGAA